CACACACACACACACACACACACAAATATACACACAATCACATCGATACGTCATTTGAGCACATGCGTTAGTGCAATCTGTCCTCTGCAATCCGGCCAATACACACACAAGCGCATCTCTTTTGGGAGGCAAGTCGGAACTCGTGCCTGGCAGATGACCTGATCCGCGGGATTCGGAGGTTCGAGTTCAGTTCGAGGGTATCAAAAGTCGACAAATCTGGGTCCACTTTCGGTCTTGCTCCTGAACCGGTCAGCTTGAACTGCTCGCCCATCCTCCTCGTCCTCTTCTGCCGAGCCGCAGCCAACCGGACGGCCAAAACAAACGTACTTTCGCGTTTTCCTTTGTCAACTCGCCTTCTCCTTAGACCGAACACTTTTTCGCTTGGTACCGGATGTCTTTTTGGCGCCGGGAAAATGTCTTTTCCTCGGTTTTGTTGGCCGTCGAGCCAATTTCTTCACCGCACGCAACCGACACAACCATACCATATCGGGGAGCACACCATCTTGGTCTTCACATCTTCGACACAGCACAGTTGTCCCACTCAGTTGACCACGAGTTCGCCGGTACTGGAGGCATTTTCATTTTGTTTCCAACTCTACGACGACGAGCTTCGAGGCCCTCTCGAGGCACTCTCAGAAGCGGAAGTTAGAGGGTCTAATGGCTTTTATTGTCTCATACAGCCGATTGGAAGTGTATGGACCTAGCTAAGACACACGTACAGACAGACACGCACACACAAAAGTCGTCCATACGTCTGTGCTTGGGATAACAGACCAATTTGGGGTGAGCTTCGCTTAACGACGACTCATGATTTGTGGTGTTGTACTGTTCATTTGGTTAGGTGAACCGAATTCATGAATTGACTTGATCGGGAGTTAGGACTGTCGATGTGAGGGAACAAGTGCCTGTTTCAGATGGTCTATATATGAAATGTATACACTCTATTTCATGGCATTTCATATAGTCTCGCTTGTCCAACAGCTATTCTCCTCCAGGGTGGACTACAGTTTTGACCTCCCCTCACCGTCAACCGCGGATACCAGTCAATCCTAGACAGAGCAACAATGACTTTGAAGACAAACTGTACTCTCCAGTATTCACATTCTTTTTTGGTGGGATTGCCTGTTGGGAAAAACTTGTATTCCCTGTTGCATTGGAGGATATTACTTATATTCTGTATTAGTAGCTATTTACTAAGATATTTAGCGCCTAGGATAAAATGAATAAATCTAATAATGTTAGGCATGTGTCCATTATACTTGAGAAAAGAAAAAGGCCTGCTTTCTCTGCTTTCACTAAGAAATGTAATCACCCTAGGTCACCTAAAGTAATGAAGGATGGATAATTAGTAAATTATCCCATAATGCTATGAGTAGACATTGCGATGCTATTGAATGTAACTCAGATTTGTCCGGGCTGGACTTTATTTATGATATCGATACCTTAAACGAGAACCGAGCCAATTCCACATTTTGTGTGGGATTGTGGTTTAGGCTAATTTGTATTTCTTGATATAGACTACAATATTACTTCATTCGATGTGAGTAGTTTTTGAGAATATCGGTATTTTTAGCCATCTGTGCTCGCTGGTTGAATTTTTCCATAATTAAATTAATACACCTCCAGATTTAATAAATGTGATTACTATACATGTGATCTAGGAGAGGCCTTGCTCCTAAATGGGGCGAAGGACCAACGTTTCGCCACTGTACACACATGGCACAGACTTGATTTTCGTTGAGATTTTAGGGAGTCTTGTTGGAATGAAAGTCATATTAGGAGGAAAGTCTGAACAAAATGTAATGTCGTGCACAATTACTTTTCTCGTGAAACCCCGTCAAAAAGAGATTCGAGCGGAGGCTCATCAAAAGATTACTGTACATTCTTATTGAACAGTCGTCCTTTGGTTCTACTGACACCTTCTGAGCGGCGCTGTACCCGAGACAAAACTTTGCGACTGAAAAGCTTCATGAGGCTTACTCACTCATCTTAATATGGGAAATTCATTTAAAAGTCTTTACATCCCCTTAGGCATCTCAGGATGAATCAAGTTCTTAATAAATATTCTTTGTTGATGACAACAACTACTTACAAAATGCCTAATTAAGTCTTGCAGGCGGGAAGATTGATACTCTCTTTTGGATCCATAGGACTGTTGATGTGTTCTGGATGTAGACCTCGCAGAACCCTAAACAGGATGTACAGTCATCGCGAATTGAAGCTGTTTTGGTCTACCTGATGTTGAGATATCGATACAACCATACCAAAAAATAATTCAGATGACAGATGCAGAAGAGTTTGGAGATATTTTTATCATCTTGTCAGCTCATCTTTTTTACTAATGCTGTGTGGAATGTATGAGACAGATGCTTTGAGCAATTCAGAAGAGGCTATTTAAAAATATAACCCTGGGAAATATTTTGTGTCTAGAAATCAGAAATAGTTGAAGTTATGGACAACGCAGGACATCAGATAGGATGGAATTGTCAGGCTCCCTCGGCAATTCGTTATGGGTCATGCAAATACAATTCCTCATGATAACTGTGAGTGACATTGGCTGACTCAGCCTATGAATCCTGAACTACTTATGGTCGCGAAAACTACTCACAACACCTAAGATGATATTAGAAGATATAATAAAAGTTTTTCACAATACAATAAATTGGTATCTTGATGCCATCCAAGTTGATTTTGCTTTACTTCAGAACATGTTTTCTCATCCTGATCGGACTGGATGGCAGTGTCAACAACGTCTCACCTTTTTGAACACCACTCATAACGGGACTCGAAATCGGGTCGTGCGTGTCGAATGACAACCTGCGACCTCTCCGCCACACAGCCACTTTAGTCAGGACAGGCTTTGCAGAAATCACGGTTATGGTGGGCGGCTGTTGAGGCAGGCGTGTATGATGCATTGCATTAATGGATGCTACTTATTTGTCTTTGTTAGTAGAGCTCGACATTATTAGCAAATCTTGAATTATAACTTGGTCAGCCTAGGTCGCTTCAGGACGGATAGCTGAGGGTATTCTAAAATTAATTAGGTTGACTTGACAAGGCCACTTGCTTCCAGCTCGTGTTTTTTCGACGCAAGCTTCCATTTCGAAGAGAAACTTGGTTAAATGAAACATGTGCATCGGTCTCAGTGGAAGCGAAAAAAAGTGAAAACTGTTGGATTGTGCGAAAAAGTCGTTGGCTGACTGTTTCGTGCTAAGCGTTCGTCTGTACTGCGGCAGACATTGTCAGTTAATGAATGCATACTTTATGAAATAGCTCAAAAAAGTATACAAAAGGTGGCTTTTATTTTGGTCTACTATATTGTTATGCTATTGCTCAGAGTATGGATTCTTGATCTGTTGATGTGTGTCATGGAGATACAGACAAAAGCATAGCACAGGTTCGTCTGAGTCACCGAATGATGGGCCGAGGAATTCGGCAGCAATCTTCCTACGATTTCTGGTGAAAGCAGTGTGAGAATCCGTTCCA